AGCGCAGCCACTGTCATCTCCATGGTAGTGTTTGACTTGCCTGTGGCACCGCCGGTATCGCCATGATGTTCGGTGTCGGAGGAGCCTGAGGCAGTGCTGAGAGCGGCGGCCTCGCGTTGCGCCTGGCGCTGACGTTTATAGCGCTCGTTGATACGATTGCGAACAACGAGGTTTTTGAAAGCAATCAGTTGGAGGATGAGTTCTTGGATCTCCGCAGTCTAGCAGGAGGGAAAAAGGAGGGGATCTATAACAGTAGTATAGGTGATGGACGTTTGCAAAATGACAAAACGGCAGACTATATATGAAACGAAATTACCAGTCACGCTGGTAACCAGAGTATTGCAGAAGGCAGTAGGTTTCGGCCACTTGGTGGACTCGAAAGGCTGAGAGCATCAGAAATCGGCATGTTACTGGCCTATTGACATGTTAGTTCGGAAACTGCATTCAAGAGTGTCAAGATGGCGATCGTTAAATCACTTCGCAGCCACTTTTCAGGTTGACCGAAGTCTACTTTCAGAGCAAATTTAGATTTACGGCTATCCCTGAATGGTTGCGGCACCGCATTAGTCCACCCCTCGGAAAGTCCTTTCATTTAACTTGGTTTGCTTTAAGAGAGCAGATCATTTAGCCGGGTTGAAATCACTGTTTTCTCACCACAGAGATACGATTGTTTTCCAAATCAGCTTTAAAACCGTAAAAATCCTTAAAGAAAATTGAGATAACACGCGTGTGTTGGCAAATACGAACAATCCAAGTGAATACCTTACTGCGAAAAACTCGGCCGCCTCGAGGAGGATCGAACACAAGATAGCAAGATTACGGCTTGAGTATAGCCAGTGATCTAATCTCGTAACTGAGAAGGTTAGAGGGTTTGACTGCATCCGAGGCGTGGTTTTTCGATCGTGTGTTAGTCTCACCAAGATCGCTGATTTTTGCACAAAATTTAGTTGCAATAGGGAAGTACTCTGGTCTCGGTAATCCTAGTACAAAACGCATCTAATATTAAGGGCACTTGGGAATATAAAATGCGTCTCCATGAAAACATGCGCTTCCATGCCGCCGGCACGCCACCACCGTGTGCTCAAAGTGAACATCCCATCGTAAGGTCCTTTTGTATAGGGCCTTCAGCTCCATGTAAGTCTGCAGCATAGTTTTAGCGATTACCTTCAGCTTCGTTTTTTTTACACTAACAAAAGCATCTCAATCGAAATATAATATATATTCTCGGCTGCTGTGCAAGTCTACTATCACTTAAAACTAAGTCACCGTCCCTGCAACCTACCAACCTATTTGGAACATACGGTGAACATAATCGTAGTCGACGGTCAAACTGCCACTTGGAAATATGAATTCCATCTCAAATAATCAAATCAAGTTTCGCACCGAGCCCGAAGAGGCTTTTCGAAGGTTTTACTCATAGTTCACTGGGAAACAAACTAAATGAAGCAGAAAATACACAGGGAACGCTGGAGCCAGTGATGAGCCGAATCCTCTCAGATACGTCAGGCAGCGGTACAAAATCGGCAAGCAAGCGCGCCCAGACCCTTTAGCTAGTGGTCTCAGTATGATTAGTAATTAAGTATTTGCACATTATTGATCGCCTGTTGGCAGTATTTGAATATTACGCAGTTATTCTGTAGTAGCTGGTGGATTTCACCTCATGTCCACTTCCATACCGAGCCTAAAAAGGCTTACTTCAAAGCTTGTACTCCAACTTTGCACACTAATTGCCTCGGAAATTAAATCAAGTAGAAAGGGAACAGTTAAGCGTACTTTATTTCGCAGAGAAATCTGCCGCTTTTCCCGTTCCTCCTCAAGCCGACGGCACTCCTCAATCATGTTAATGGGAAGCCCGACCCATCGAATTTCCTTCTTTTCTTTCTGTAGAACATTCAACGCCATGAGAACATTCAGGGCATCATAAACGCGCCGTCGGATATTCTTCTGAATGTAGTGCAACTGGAAATGGGAGCGAGGGGGAGGTTTGAAGAATAAAAAGCAAACTTAGGAGCTGTGGCCGAGAGCAAGCAAGAATGAAACATGTTTACACAGTAGAAAAAGTTGTGATAAGCATCTGTCGTATGGCAAGAAGCCAGGATGAAATGGTGAGCCAATTTTAATTCTCGAAGCAGACGTTTCGCTTCTCACCTGCGAATTGCCTCGTCTACCTGCTACTACATCCCGGTACCGAAAGGAATGGAGTAGCGACAACCAGCATCTTCACCGTTCATGTTTTACGCAGCGGGAGCAATCCTATAACAACACACACTGCTCTTTTTTTCAGCTCACCGGTGACTCAGAAAGTCCCTGCTGCGATCTAGGTGAGAACTATGATCATTCTTGTGCTAGTGAAAAAAAGAAGCGCTATTGGAGCCGGAGGGAACTGCGTTCGAAGATTTGGTCCATTTAATTACCTACTTTAAAAGCCCCTACTTTGTTGCGTTTTTATTTGGGTAGAACAGCCGGTACACATAAAGATAAGATATCGGTATCCCCATATTATACAATGGGTCAATTAACGGTACTAAAAGAAGCAAATATGTTTTGTGACCATGAAGAATTCCAATCATGCAAGAAATGCAGCCGGCGCTGTAGGACATGGTAATGCGAGAGTGGCGAGCGCCAACCTGTCCTGAAGGAAGGAGGCAACCTTATAGTTCCGGACCAACAGACCAGCAGAGTTGTTGCGTGGAAACCAGGCGAAAATAACGGGTTTCATTAATAACCTTCTGCTACCACGTCCTGCTATTGGAAACGGTGAAGACAACTCGTCTTTGATGGGTAACTGCGTTGCTTTTTCTTAACTCAGTAATTATATCAATGTGTAGGCCTGGTGCAAATTCATCGAGAGCAAACCTGTGTTCGCAAATCGACTTTGGGATAGTGAGAAATAAACCGGTGTGGCGCTACCGATTCGACTCGGATGCGTCACTTTGCAGATACTGACTATCTTAGAGCAAGTGGTTCACTCAAATCGCTGGGACTCTCACAGTCCGATATGGCTGAGCACCAAGGCCAAATTGCTATGCCGGTTCAGTAGTCTTTTTCGATCCAGAAACATCAAATACATCTACTTTATGAAAAACTTCTTACAAAAAAAAAAGCAAAAAATCATTTCTGCAAACAGCACCATCACTGAGATTTCCTGATAAGCAAAATATGTTAGGTATGAACTGGAAAATCGGCATCCCAAGAGGTATAATTCAGTAGAAGTTATTTGGAAAAATGTTGCCTATCGAGTGAATTCTCGACACTGGCTCACCAGGTCGTCATCAGACGGATGGGAATCGTACGAAACAGTCAATAAACAACATTTTCCCAAAGAGCTTCTACCAAAATATGTTAAGTTTAACACGAGAAGAAAAAGATCAGAGGTTGCGCGTCTTACCTGTTCTGATGGAATCATCGGATGCTCCGCCGCGTACTCGTGCACCAGTTCATCTGCCACTTCACTGTACGAGGTGATTCCCTTCTCTTTGACTTTGTTGCAAACACAACGCGCATAGCGTCGAAGACCGTTTGTTTTTAGGCCTGTTGCGACACTGGAAGTCGGCGGGAAAAAAATGAAGTTCGTTAGGTACAGTTTACACATATACAGTAGTCGCCGGTTATTAAGCCCACGGTTAATAGGCCCAGGCGCGTAT